CTGTGTTGGCGTGGCACACTTTAGGAAGATCTGCCTCCAAGCTCCCAGGGCGGGTTCCTGCCTCAAACCCTGCCCTTACAGGAAACAGCTCCGGGGAGGGCGCTGCCGTTGCCAAGACAACCCCTGCAGGACTGACTTCCTTCTGCTTGGTCTCGGTTCTTCTGGTTGTGATGAACACCACCCAGGGTTTTTATATAAGTAGATAAGGAGATTATTAGGTAATAATAATTGCATACTGCTTTAATATTTTTTAAAAATTTACAAAAAATAGGTTATATTCTAAAAATTATTACATACTTGTCTTAGTCTGTTTGGGCTGCTATAACAAAATACTATGGACTGGGTGGCTTATCAACAACAGAAGTTTATTTCTCACAGTTCTGGAGGCTGCAAGTCTGAAATCAAGATGCTGGGCTGATTCATTGTCTGGTGGTAGAGTCCAGTGTGTCCTCAAATAGTGGGAAGGCAAGGGACTTTCTGGGGTCTCTTATATGAGGACACTAAACCTATTCATGAGGACCTAATCACCTCTCAAAGTCCATACTTCCAAATATCATTACATTGGGGATTAGGTTTCAACATGGATCTGGAGGGAACACATTCATTCTATAGTAAAATTTATTGTAAAAAAAAAAAAGAAGAAGAAATTAGTGGGGGGGGGGTGTGAGTAGGTGGAAGAGAGTAAAGCTGATGGAAGGAGACTCCCTTAGGGTAGAAACATATACTACAATATACAGATGATATATTATAGAATTGTACGGCTGAAACAGATACAATTTTAGTAACCAATGTCACCCCAGTAAATTCAATGAAAAAATAAAGAAATAAAAATAAATAGGAAATATATGTAGATGTCAGGTTCTAAACTCAGTGCCATGGATAAAAATCAGCTAGAGTCAGGTTTGCTCCATTGTCACTTTTTCACTCAAGAAGCAAATAAAGTAGTTGGCTTGTGTTTAAGGGCCATGCTTTAAGAAAAAATAGATCACCCATGAATTCCAGGTAGATGTCATGCACAGAGAATTACATGCATTCCAGGTAGACGTCTATATTATAAAAGGCATGCAGGAACTAAGATGAACTCAGGAAAAGGTAGAGTCCTATGCCCGTATCATGGCTATCCCCTGACCTGTGCTCATTGAGAGCATTCATAGGCAAATTCCCCAACCCCCACACAGGTCCTAGAGTGTCCTCCCTTCCTGGGTCTTTATTTCTCTCATTCACACAGAGGATAGTTGGATAAATAGTTCATTATGGGGAGGCCACTGTAGTGTATAGAAGGGTATAAAATGAATATAAAAGGTAATGTCTAACTTATTTTTGTAAACCAAGTTCTAATCCCCAGTAATCAATGCTATCAAAATTTTACACATACACACAAACACATTCACCTACTACAATTATATATGCATATACATACAAATATAGGCATACTATACAAACTCTTTGGAAACTTTATTTTTGCATTTACATTATAACTTGGAAATCTTTCCATATAAGAATATGTACCATATATGTTTGTAATAACTGCATAGCATTTGGTGGCATAGAAGAGCTGTGATTTTACAAATAAGCCTTTCACTAATGGATATTTACATTTTATATATAAAGATTATGTATATAGGTTTATATATATACCTATATATACATATATATTTATATCTATATCTCTCTATATATGTGTGTGTGTGTGTGTGTGTGTGTGTGTATATATATATATATATATATATATATATATATATATATACCTATATCTATATCCCAATCTATACTTAAAATTAACTCCTAGGTATTTTATATAGATTACTTCCAATAAGTTTTCACTAATTCATGCATGCATTCCCATTAGTACTTGATATATCAATCAATTAAAAAATCTTTTTATTTTTTATGCTTTTCCCTAAATATGAATGAGGCAGAGTATATTTGATGTGTTTTGTGGTCTTTTAGTGAATTGTCACTTTGTGTCCTTTGCCTTTTTTAAACTTTATTTTTTATCTTTTTATAAAAATTATTTGTATTTTAAGAAACTTTCTCATTAAGTATGTTGCAAATATTTTCCCAGTTTGTCATTGTATATCATTTAGCTAAACGGAAGTTTTAAAAAAAATTTGTATACAGTTACATTGTTTACCTTTTCTTATATGGCTTCAGTCTTCCCTCCAATATCAGATATGCCCAAACAAAATCCATTTTCTTCTAATATGTTTATGGTTTCAATTTCCATACTTAAACCTTTGCTCTATCTAGACTATTGTGATGATGGGAGATTCATCTTTCATCTTCCCAATAACACTGTTAAGCATTATCCCCATTTTATAAATCTCCATTCTACAAAGGATAAAAGAAAGGGTCTAACATGGAAGTAATTTTTCTGTATTCTTTGCTTGTGAAAGTTAGAGCTTAGATTTACTATACTGCTTCCAACATTATGTAGCCAGTTATAATTTCCTTCAACAATAACAGATGTTATTCTGTTAGCATGTACATGGATCTGTTAAAAAACGTTTGCCTAAAAATAGAGGATACTTTTTAGTGGGGCATTGTCATTGTAATTAATGCCTCATTTCCTGCATCTGTAACTTGAGACTAGTAAGTCAGCTGTCCTAGTACACTTGCAAAAATCAGCAATACATCTACAGGTGTAGCCCATGTCTGCACTGGGAGGCTATGGATGGCTAAGTGTATATGGGAGTTGAAGTGCATCTGCAAGTCTAAGAGCCTTTCTTTAGAAGGTACACACACTAACACTGTATCTGAAGTCCTATCAGGAGAAGCCCTCCTGATGCCCTCCCGGAAAACCTGCTTGTGTGTTTTCACCTGTAACTTCACCTGTGAACTGTTCTGAGTTTTGTAACATTTTCCAGTTCTTCTGCTCTCATTCTTTTGGGTTGTCCAAATACCCTAGGGCTATGGTCGGCAAACTGCGGCTCATGAGCCACATGCGACTCTTTGGCCCCTTGTGTGTGGCTCTTCCTAAGCCTTAGGAGTACCCTAATTAAATTAATAACAATGTACCTACCTATATAGTTTAAGTTTAAAAAATTTGGCTCTCAAAAGAAATTTCAGTCGTTGTGCTGTTGATATTTGGCTCTGTTGACTAATGAGTTTGCAGACCGCTGCCCTAGGGTCTCTTAAAATAATAAATACAAAGATGTAAAGTTGCCCTTTTCCCACAGTTCCTAATGGAAAAATATAACATTGCTTATTCACAGATTAAAATTTGAAAAAAAAACCCTCTGACCCTCCAATAAAATAGGCATTTAAAAATTCTCCTGTGATTTTCATGACATCAAGTTGCTGTGTTTGGATTCATTTATTGGGAAGAGCTGCAGGGAATGTGACCTGCTATGACCTCAGAAGAAGAAGGTGGTAACTGAAATTCTTGGTTCTGCGTTTGAAAGCCATTAGTAAAAGTTGTGGAATGATGAGAGTTGGGTATCCATGTCTGGATTTTTTTAATGTCCTGGAAGTCACTGGTTGTGTTGCAAGTGTTTGTAATTTGTAATTACCTAGATTTATCTGACAGACGGAACTGGGAATCAAATTAAGTAGCTGCCTTCTTTTACGATTCTAAAGAATCTCCAGCTTAAGACAAGATTGCCTTTTTTCCTTCCTAAAAAAAGGCACAAACAATGACAGCCCAAAATAGCTATTTAGTCAGAACTGACGACACTTTCTGAATGCTTGTCATTAGAGAGAATTAGAAAACCCTGCCTTTCTCCTCCCTTTAATTCTTCTCCCTTAAATACCTTGCTTGCCCCTGAAGCTGCCTCAGCTCATTGCCCAGGAGAAATGCCCAGTAGCTCTGCCAGTACCTCAGCACCACTGCAGGCTCCAGAGGGGAGGTGGCTTATGCAAAACACATTAAAGAAAAATCCTAAAAGTCACTGCAGCTTTTTCTAGTGAGTTATGCTGATCTTCCCTGTCGCTGTAAGCTGATGGGGAACGTTGTGGCAAAGACATAACCACTCTTTTTCCTCCCACTGTTTCTGCTGCAGTGAGAACAGTTCATTTCTGCGTGCATTTTGCCAGAGAGCTTTAGAATTCTAGCTGAGCATTAGGGCTTCCAAAGGCTGGAAATAAGAGTTTAGAACGTTAAATTGGAGTTTGTCCTTTGGCTCAGGAAAAATTGAGTTAATTTGCAGCATTCGGTGCCTGACAGGAATGACAACAGACAGTAGGATCAGAGGATGGTTTTAAATCCCTCCCCCTCCCCCCTTATGGATTCATGGGGGCAGAAGCTTTTATTTTTCTCTCCTGCTCTCTCTGCCTTCCGGAGCCAGCTGAACACATTACATTCAGCAGCAGTAGCTACTGAATCCGTGGTTATGTTATCCCTGGACTCTTCCCTTTCATTCCGAACTCATCCTCTATTATTGATTGTCATTTACTAATAAAGCTTCATTTTGGAAAATTGGGTGCCTGTTTTATCAGTGATCCTGGCAACTTTAGCTACCCCGGGAAGATGTGAGTAGATATCTCAGGACAGGGAAGTGAGAGAAGGTGGTACTTCTCAGCCATGTAACTGCAGATCACCCCAGGGGAACCCAGCTTACATTTTAGGGGACTTTGTGAGACAGTGATCTTTTGGTCTCAGTCCTATTTCACACTGAAAAGCAGAATGAGAGGTGTTTGCAGTGATTTGTAGTATTTGCCAAACAGGGTGCTGCATCAGAATAGCCTGGAATACAGTGCAGAGCCCTTATTCAACCTCCACAGGGGAAAGGGTTTCCTCTTCATTTACAGTCTGCCGGATGCGATCCCCTTGTAAAGTATCTAATAGGATAACAGCAGAGCTCTCCAGAAACATAAGTAACTCATTGGTTAAATTTCAATTCTTCACCTTCCTCCCCCCCACTCCATCCCTCCTGGGTGAGCTCATTCCCCCCTCCCGTTTTTTTTTTTTTTTTTTTGTGGGTTTTTTTTTTTTTTTTAACCCAGTGATTTAAAATGCTAGAAGGAAAAAGCAACTGAAGTCTTAACTTTCAGATGCTGAATTCTCGGCTAATTGAAATTACTGGGCACACTGCTATATATAGCCAATGAAGAGATGTTGAGCTCTCACTCAGTGCCTTCAAGACATGTCGTTTTGTAGTCAGAGAAAGCAGAGATCAATGCATTTTCAAACTGACAGAGGGAACGGATGCTCCTTAGTAGCACATGCCCAGGACCCAGTGTGTGGGGCTTGCGCTGTGCTGAGAAGCTGAATACCGGTCCATATGCTCCTTATTTACTGCAATGTTCTTTGCATGTTACTGTGCACTCCGGACTAACGTGAAGGTAAGAGGAGGCGAGCCGGCAACTGGGCACAAGATACATGTTAAACCAGCTGCAGAAAATGTCTACCTTGTGTAGCCTCAGGACTTTTCGGATTGCTGGCTGAGCAGGCAGATTATTACAGGTGGTTGCAAGGGCTTTGTTTTATTGTCGCCGTGCAGCCTCGCTGGGGGAGCATGTTGGAACGCCGCTGTGAAGTGACCTTCAGGTTTAACTGTTTGTAATTCAGGTTCACGCTCACACTTGGGGGCTGGAGTGGGGGGAGGAAAAGATGAAAATTATGTAGGTAGGCCAGAACCAATAAATCCGGGGGGGGGGGGGCGGGGGGAGCTATAGAGCTTGCTTTAGGGGAGGATTGAAAGACTTTCTTTTTAAAAGTGCTGGGAGCTGCCTGTTTGTGTAGCTTAATTGTTTGCGATGGGGATTACACGTAGGGGCTGTAATGGCATTAGGACAGGATCTGTGGGATAGGTGATCACCCTGTCCGTACAAACACAGCATTATCCTTGGAAGTTGGTGATACTGAGCATACACATCCTCAGCTCTGTTTGCTTTGGCTGCCTGGGTGCCGTTGCCAGGCGTTCTCACCCCACTGACATTCAGTTGCTGTAGCTAATGAGGCTCTGAAGTTGAGCCTAAGTTTGGGAGATTTACCCCTTGCCAGGAAGGACTGCGATATTATTGGAGAGGTTTTCTGACACTGTTCATTCAGCACTAAGCCAGGCAGACAGGCCAGCTGTGGAATTCCAGTTGCATAATTTGAAGTGAATTACATCCTCTGTTAGCATTTTGAACTTGGATTTTCAAAGGAAGTTCAAAAGGAAAGTAATTGCCTCTCAGGAGAAAAAAATTGAAGGGCAGTTAAGATTTAATACCTAAAGTAAGATCTTAAAAATATATATCAATGGAAAGCGTTTTCCCCCATTTTATTTAACTGGGGGAGTATTTTAATATGCCTGGATACTAAAGTTTCATTTCCTGTGTTTACAAGTTTTATTAAAGAACTCCCTGCTGTTCCCCTTTTGTAAGCCTTTTTGTTTTCTATTTGAATTTCAAACAGGTAGTATTTATGTTTTGATGACCAATTCTATTACAACCACAGTCGGAAGCATTTCTGCAGATAATTTTGCAGACTTCTGTAGACTTTACTTTTTACTACTCTTAAGGTTAAAGTCAGCAATCAGTTTCCCCCATACAGATGCTATAATAAGCAACATGAAAAGAGCTATTTAAAACCCTAAGGACAGAACCCAAATATCAATTTGAATTTCTCCATCACCATCCCTTGTTTCAAATTTTGGGTATGCAATAACACTGGTTTGTAAGCTCATGAATTTTAAATGTGCCCCTCCTTATCTTTTTTTAAGAGAAAACTGCTTTTTTCCCCCAGGGAAATCTCCATAAATGATTTAGATGAAGAGATAATTTTTAAATATTTCAGAAGTGCAGAAAAACCCAAGTCCAAAGTTCCTTTGATATGGGTTTTGAGAAATTCCCTTTTTACTCTATACTCAGTGGTCTTTGAGGGGCTAGCTTTAAATTTTTCTTACTTATATTCATAAGCAAAAGAATGAAAAGACTTTTACCAACAGTATCTTAATTTTATCTTATCTGACTTTTGGATAATAAATTCTTAGTCTGTATTTTGGCTAACCTGTACTGAGTGATGTAAACCTTTCTATACATTAATCAATAGAAACCCCGAACATGTACATTGCCACGTACAACATGTATAACCTTGCTTTGAATAGCTCAACTTCAATGTTAACTATGTTTATGCCCTTTCAATAATTATTTTTCACACTTCCGTGCAAATGTTATTAGGTTTATCTTTTTCTTCTGAGATAGCAAGTTTTGCAAAAGAGTTCACAATTACATGGTCTGATATTTTACCAAGTTTTTGTAATAAAGTCTTACCTGATGTTTTTATTTTTGTTTTATGTTATAATTTTAAAGTATTTGATTTTATTTTTATTATGCCCAGAGTTACTTATTTACTGGGTTCTGGTAAAATCTCTTGTATAGTTTGTGGCTTTTCATGTTGCCATGTTTTAACATGATTGGTGTTCCAGTGACCCAAAACTTTCAGATGGTTAACATTCAAAGGATAGAAACAGCTCTTGTCTATTTTTTCCTGCACTCACAATCTTTTATCCTAGAATGATTGTTTTGTGGATTGGACCTTTTTTATTATAGTGAAGTCAAAAGGATTTTTTGAGAGTGGTATGTTTTAATATGTCTGATGTTTTCATGTAACAATGAAGTCATTACATTTGGAACGAATATGCATGTATATCTATATGTGCACACATATACATTTACAGATATCAGAATGTGACTTATAGGTCATCATTTATTCACGCATCTTTCAAAAATTTTTGGAAGGACAACTATGATTTATGCACTGTGCTAGAGTCTGTGCACCTAAGCTCCATAGAAAATAATCCTTGCTTTCAAGAAGCTTCCATTCTTGGAAAGGACACAGACACATAAGCAAGTAAGAGGTATGAAGTATTACAGGACCAGTAATGAAAATCTACGCAGGACATTGTAAGGACAAAACAGAACAGAACACTGGCTAATTTTACATGGACTGTGATGTCACCTCTGGGTTGAAAGGTTTCCCTGTGAAGTCACCTCTGGGTTGAATTTTGACAGCTAATGGAGTTTTGCCAAGCAGCCTGGAGTGAGGAAGGTATGCCTGGTAGAGGGAATGACAAAAGCATGGAGTTAAAAAGCAGAACACTTTGAAGAGTTGCAAATAGTTTGAAATGGATGGAGCATGGGGTCTTAGAAGACTGAAGAGTGAACTAACAGGGTCTAACAAATAAAGGCCAGGTAAAGCCAATACTGTGGGAATTAACTGAGCAATCTTCACAATCTAACTCTGTGTTACTTTTCCACCTGTTTCTAGAAAAAGGGATTTCTACAGATGGAAAAAAATGAAAACTTCTAACCAGAGGGTATTATATATGTTCTGTGTTTTCTTGTCAACTGTAAGTTGTTTAAATTTGATCAACATTCATAGCATATTGGCTTGAGTTTAACTTTTTAAAGAATATGATTACAACAATCTACTCTGATTCTGTTCACACACAAAAAAGTAATGTGATCATTATTTAGGTATATAATTCCTCTTTCATCTCAGATTGCCTTTGTTATACACAAAGTACCTCTTTAATAAAACATAAAGGAAGCTTGTTGCACCAGATGTCCATATCATTTTTTGTCTATAAAAATGACTTTTTGAAAGTAATGATTTTGATGCAACTAACTTACATTCAGGTGATACCTGTTGCTTTTCTGAATAGCTTTATGTTCCTCACCTCATTATTTCCCTCCTTTTGTCCTGCTACTGTAAACATACCCATATACAGTCACAAACCCACAATCTCTGAATGATGAATGGCAAGTATGAGATCCATTTTACAGGTAAGAAAACTAACACAGAGAGGGGAAATGGACAGTTCCTCTGGTTCACAGTGTGTGTCAGAAGCAGATTTGGTAGAGATGTTTCCTGACCCCTTGTTTACTACCTTATTTAGTAAATCCTGTTGCCCACCCCATGGATTCAATAATTCTGCTTTTATTTTTGAAATAAAAGAGTGTAACAGAATGTTTTTCAAGCATGGGTTTTCATTACTCTAAAAGAACTAATTTTGGGTTATCTTCCCCATTTATTACATAGAAATGCTTTTGTTTGCACAAGAAACTTTCTGAATTAAGTATTTCTAATGTATATAACAAGGATAATAGTTATTATAAAAATGATGTGATATAAGATATGGGGACACTGTATAAAATGTTCTTAGAATGTAGTAAGTCCTCAGTTTAACTCATAATTGATAAATTTGAGGCCACAAAATAGGAGAAGACTTAAGGTTTGCCTTCAGTGAAAATAGTGTTAAGAAATTCTAGGATTTGAGCCCAATTAAAAGATGTCTGTAATTAATGAGAAATGCATTCAGCTATAAATTCACCTTTCCCACCACTCTCAACATCATTACCACACATGCACATATGCTAACATGTAAATTCTATAGAAGTCAGGATTTCCATTTGTTTCATTTACATCTGTATCATCAGCATCAAGAACAATGTGGGCACATAGTAGTTGTTCAATAAATATTTGTTAAATGTTGCATCATGTCCCAGATTTCTCTTTATTACATACTCAGCTTCTTCCCAGATTTATTTATTGTAATGCTTTTTAAATTATTTTGAGAGAAAACACACACACACACACACACACACACACACACACACACACAATACCTTGGGCTTTGAAAGCACATGGGCGTGGGTTTGCATATGAGGTTTGGCAGTCACAAACCACTCGCACTCAGTCACATACATACTGTTTTGGATCTACACAGCCAGGTTGTAGAGCTAGGTTGGAGGGAATCTATAATTCAAACTAAAACAATTTGTTGACTGCCTAAACACTCCAGAATTCAAACTTTCATCATGCTAATTTCTACTGAGTTTATTCTGTGAAGTTCCTCATTTCCAAACACCCCGCCCTTTTCTGCCTCTGAGCATTTGCTTTGTGCAATGGGCGTCCTTTCTCTGATTGGCCATGTTCTGTCTGAATTCTATCCTTCCTTTAAGAACCAGTACAGGGTGTTTGTCTTTCAAGAAATTGACCCTAGCCGCACTAACTCCCTTACTTTATCTCTCCTTTGATTTGGTGAGTGTAATTTCTTCATCATTCAGGGAAATAAATCTTATATTGCCTTATGGCATCACTTGCAATATTTATCTTACATTGCTAGCTAATTTTTTATTATGTTTTGGCATTGCCCTCATCCCAACTAGATTTTAAGCACTCTGAAGACAGGAAGTATATACTGTTTTCTTTATTTATTTCCTCTAAAATGCTTGATTTACTGTTTGAAAGGGAAACTTTCAGAAATTCTATCTCCTTATGCTGCAGATGCCTATTCTTTGAAGAGTCCATGATACATCCCACATATCGATGCTTTTAATGAACACATTATTTG